AAAAAAACAAACAATTGATGGTGGTTAATGTACACAAAAAATTTTTCCTGTGATATATGTAAATGTTATTATTGTTAAATGTGAGTTTTATGCTAAATGTAAAGTTCAAAATATTGTATTTCATGTTTATTGTTTGTCGTTCTAATAAAAAACAGACTCCCTGAGGAAGGCGCGAAGTGCGTCGAAACGCATAGGAGTACAAAGGAATTTTATTTCGCTTTTAACTCAACGGCCGAAACAGCTCTAACCCAGCAAACAACTAGATAGGAACTTGGCCCAAATTAAACACACGATAATAAAGGAGAATGAAGCAGGAAGACTAACATCAATGAACCCTTCGGCCCCTCCAATGATTTCATTACCTAAAATACATAAACCATGTAACCCGATGAGACCGATTATTAACTACAGATCGGCTCCGGCATACAAACTCTCGAAATACCTGAAGACCATACTAAAGCACAAATTAGAGTTACCCAATAAATATATAGTCACAAACGCGGCAGATCTTTACCCAAAGGATCTTTACCCGTCAATACCAACAACAGAGACAATGGATATTTTATTTAGAATATTACTCGGCAAAACGGAAAAGAAAATCGCAAAAGAAATTATCAATACTTTGAAGACTACGATAAACCAAAATTATTTCCGATTTAACAACAAAATATACAGGCAAATAAATGGACTAGGAATGGGTAACCCAACATCGGCTATACTCATGGAGGTGTTCATGCAAAGCCTAGAGGAGAAATATATGGAGCATCTCACAACCAATTTAGGGGTCAGCTTCTACGCTAGATATGTGGACGACATAATATGCATAATAACGGGGGACAAAAAGGAGCAGATATTAGACTACCTTAAGGAACAACACAAAAATATAGCATTCACGATGGATAAGGAAGAGAAAGGAAAACTCAACTATTTAGATCTAACTATTAAAATAAACAAGACCACCAACAGACTGGAATACGAGATATACAGAAATCCCACAGCGACCGACACAGTAATACATGAAACCCTCTTACCACCCACAACAACACAAAAACGAAGCATTTAGACAATTATT